AAAAGCATCCATTCCCCCCCCCCCCCAACCTCCCCACCCAGCCAGTGTGGCTCAGTGGTTGAGTGTCGACCCATGCACCAAGAGATCGCCAGTTCGATTCTTAGTCAGGGCACATGCCCAGGTTGTGGGCCTGATCCCCAGTGGGGGGCGTGCAGGAGGTGGCCAATCGATGTTCTCTCATCGATGTTTCTCTCTCTCTCTGTCTCTCTCTCAAAGAAAAAAATTTTTTTAAAAAGAACCAATAATATTACAAAAAAATAAAAGCACCCCCCCCAAAGTAAACTTACATATAGCAAAGTGTACTGTTCTTACATGTGCGGTTTGATGAGTACCGACAGGCGTGCACATCTGTGTCACCACACCCAGGTCATCATGCCAGCAAGCTCCCTGGGCTCTCGGAGTCTCCCCACGCTCCCTGTCACTTACCAACAAACCCTCTGACCAGGGCCACCAGCCATTTCATCCCCCTACCCCCACCCCTGCAGTCTGTCCTGGGCCGCTCACTTCTCATCCCTGTTCCTCATCCTATCTCCCCACTTCCTGTCTTGCTCCCCTGGATCCATTCTCCACTCTCCAAACTCTGCACAGTGACTCTTTGAAACCTGGAACCTGATCATGACCCCCTCCGGAGCAGCTGTCCTGTGACTTCCATTCTGCCAGTGACGGAATTCTCAGAACTTCTGATACAGCCTTCGAGGCCTCATGCGGTACTTTGGGGTGTTTTTCTTTCACCAGTATCTTTATAAAGTATAAGCTCGTTTGAGTCCGTCCGGTGTACATGTTTACTGAAGCCCATGTTTGCGTTTGCAGGCATGTTGGTGCCCTGGGCTATGAGAACAGTGTGGGACTGGAGATGTGAGTGACACGTTTGCGAAGGCGAAATAGCATTGGCATTGCTGCAGGAGTTCCTGGTTTACAGTGGCTGGAGCCAGGGAGGAGGTGGATAAAGAGTCACCACCTGGCCCAGGGAGAAAAGGTTCAACTCCACGAAAAGGCAGTCACAGTGAGAGAATTAGCCAGAGGGTTAAATTAGTCTTGTTAATTTGACTGTTCTTGGTGTTTGGTTTTCTCTTTGGCTGAAATCCTGGCCCCTCCCCTCGCCTGCCCTGCCCTCGCCTGCCCTGCCCTCGCCTGCCCTGCCCTCGCCTGCCCTGCCCTCGCCTGCCCTGCCCTCGCCTGCCCTGCCCTCGCCTGCCCTGCCCTCGCCTGCCCTCCCCTCGCCTGCCCTCCCCTCGCCTGCCCTCCCCTCGCCTGCCCTGCCCTCGCCTGCCCTGCCCTCGCCTGCCCTGCCCTCGCCTGCCCTCCCCTCCCCTCCCCTCGCCTGCCCTGCCCTCGCCTGCCCTCCCCTTCCCTCCCTCCCCTCCCCTGCCCTTCCCTCTCTTTCTCTGCCCTCCCCTGCCATCCCTTCCCTTCCCTTCCCTTTCCCTCTCCTCCCCCATTTTCACCCAGTTAACCCCTGTGCACATTTTTGCATTTCAGCCTGCATGTCATTTTCCCAGAGGTCTTTACTGAACCCTCACCCTCCGTCTAAATTATGAATCCCCATCTTCTGAGATTGGCATTTGAGAGCATTGACCATCCGTCTGTGTTTCTGCTTTGAGATCATAGACAAACACTGACCTTGGACGCTTTGCTCATGGCTGTGGCCCAGCCCTCAGCACAGCCTGACACACAGAGGCGCTGAAAGTTCAGGGCAGGAAGGAACACCTGCGGAGACATTCCTGCCGTTGCTTGAGAGATTGTGCCTGCCTGACCCTCAGTAAATCGTCTTCATCAGGAATGTTGACGTCACAGGCAGGGGTGGGGCAAGGGAGGGCTAGAGTACGTGTACTTCTGCCTGGACATTAATGACTGGGATCATCCGGCATGTGTGGATTTTAACGACTTGTGAGTTATTTCTTTTTATTTGTTGCCTTGTTTATTACCATGTCCGTGGTCTGTTCACAGCAGCCCCCTTCTCATCTCCCGGGGCAGCCCTGTGCGTGAGACTGCTTTCAGGAGTCGGGCTTCCCAAACCTGGCTTCAGCGGAGAATCATCTGGACAAGTCTTAAGCAGTGATGACTGAGTTCTCTGTAGGTTCGGAGGAGGGACGTATTCGATGATTCTAGTGTGCAGCCAAGGTTGAGAAGCTGCTGCAGAGCACGGTGTAAATCCGGGCTTCATCTTCATTTCAAGTTTTACCAGAACATCAAAACAGGTGTACTATAGGAGATGCTTGAAGAAAATAGCTCCAGTGAGAGCAAATGAGGCTGAAGGTTGATGCAGATCGATCTCCGTGACTTGTGAATGACGATGAGAGTGCTGGGTCGTCTTCACCAGCCAGTCTTTGCCTTGAGTTTGAGTGGTGTCTTCTCTGTGATTGTATTTTTGCCGTGTTGTGTTTGTTCAGGCAGGCTGATTGCTGCAGCAACAGCCCCCAAACTGCAGGGGTGTAACAGGCATGGTATTTTTCTCGCTCATCTAGCAGTCCCACCTGGGAAGCTGAGAGACTCGACTTGACTTCACGTTACTTTGTCTGGATCTCGGAGGGCACCTGGGTGGCAGGTGAGGCAGGTGGAGTCTAGAGTCCAGAGGACCACGGAGGGGGTTTTAGGCACCAGACAAGGAAACGGCACATGTCCCTCTTGCTCAGTTGTTCTGTTGGCCGCATCCAGTCCCTGTTACTGATTGCTGTTCTCCCTGCAGGGAGGTTGGGATGTTGTCTACTTCTGTGTGCTGGAGGGTAAGAGGTGGGGTTGGGGAACATGGAACGTTATTTCTGCCTCACATGTTTAGGAAGAGAATTTACGGCTTTCAGTTCTGTTTGTTTGAACGTAATTTAATCATCAACTGCAAGGTAGGTGTGTGTGTGTGTGTGTGTGTGTTTTTAATAGCGAGACTTATTTAAATCTATTCTTGCAACTTTCTCTTGGTTTCTGTGTTGCTCACTCAGTATATCCCTGCTGAATGCCTCCAGTGTGCCAGCCACTGAGCTGGGCAGGTGCCAGTTATGGGAAGATGAATGTGAGCCCCGTACTGGGAAGATTCTGGTTTCTGACAACAGAAAACCCAACCAGAGTGGCCTAACTTGCATGGGCCTTTATTATTTCAGACAACACAATTTGGGCTGGTTCAGGGTTGTGGATTCAGCCACTCCTGCTGGGTGCTGTTCTTGGTTTTTGCTTTATGATCTCAAGGAAGGTGTGGATTCCAGGTATTTGATGTCTGCAGCCATGTGGAGTGGGGGTGGGTCTCTGCCTGTCCTCTTTGGTGTGCATGCTGGCCTCCCCGGGGGCCCTCAGCACACATGACTTCAGTCTGTCTGGCTGAGATCCTGACTCCTGCTCGGGCAGCCTGCAAGGGGAATTACTGCGACAGCCTGGACCAGTGGGCTTCCCCACAGGCCTGTGGCACCCAGCAGGGAACAGAGGGTATCATTTTTGAGCCATTTCCTCTCCTTTATTCCATGTGCTTTCACCATGTTTTCAGCAAAATTCCTCTTTCGTGATAACTCCATAGATCTTGGCACTCAGCGAGTGCTTCTGTACAAGGTCTGTGCAGCTCATCTGTTGTCGCCCAGTTAGCTGTTGTTGACATGCTGCCTTGTGATGTTGCTGGTGTTGAGGTGCTGTCGCTCATGTCCCTGGTTTACGACTTCTGTTCTCCCCACAGGACCAAGCATGGTGCCTTACACAAAATTGAGTTTCTCCTTTCAAATATCTTCCATCTCCATACCTTCCTTTCCATTTCCAGCCTGGTTGGACTTGTCCAGGACCTACGACCGCATACCTGGATTATAACAGCTGATCTCCCCGAGGGACCTCTCTCTCCTGGGGCATTAACTCCAGAGCCCAGTTGTTCCCCGGCAACTTCAGTGAGCTGTCTTTGCCTTCTGTCCCCCACAGGTGCCCCCCAGTGTTCACACGCGGTCCATCAGCCCCACACTCTCCTCCACCTCTCAGTCCCGCCCACCCAGCCAGAGTCCTGCTGCCTCGTAGGCCTTTCGAAGCTCTCCTGGCTTCTGCGCTTTCGCTCGCATTGTCTTCACCCAGGCCTTCCCCTTTCCTTTGCCTGGCTGGTGTCTGCCCGTTGTTAAAGGCACAGCTTTTCCCTTAGTTACTTCTCCCATTGGCCCCTTCCCTCTGCATTGCGTTGTACCCTGTACACGTTTCCGTAACCGGCACTGAAGCTCATTCTCTGCAGGACTTCACTCAGGCAGACCTGCCGTTCAGCTCTGACTGGATGTCTAGCCACTGCCTCCCTCGTGGGACTGTCGTGGGAATAAAATCACTTAGTGTGGGTCGGGTACCTGGGGGTCATTCCTTGTCCCCGCAATAATATTTGAGTGATTGCATTTCTTTCCTTTTTTTTTTAATCCTCACCTGAGGACATTTTTACATTTATCTTCAGATAGAGCGGGAGGAAAGGAGGGGGGAGAGAGAGAGAAACATCGATGTGAGAGAGACACATCGACCAGTCACCACCCACACGACTCCAACCAGGGCTGGGAACAAACTGCAACTGAGGTATATGCCCTTAGCGGGAACCAAACCTGGGACTCTCTGGTCCTCAGGCCAACACTCTAACTGCTGAGCCAAACTGGCCAGGGCTGACTGACTGCATTTCTATGCACAGTGACCTGCTTAAAGTTCCCCAGAAACATACCGTTAACAGGCTTATTCATTTAACAAACTTCTACCGAATGTTGGCGAGCGGCCCGGCACTGTTGAGATGTCTGGGATGTTCTAGTAGACCTGTGAAAGGCGCTGTCTATCTTATCGTGTGACCTTAGCAAAGGTACTTCTGTTGGCCGTGTGTGCCCTGATTGGCATTCATCACCCGGTGTGGCCAGCGGGACCAAGGGCTTCCACTTTCGTTCAGCTCTCGAGACGCGCTTTGAGCCCTCTTCCCCCACCTTTCAGCAGCAGTGCCGTGGACAGATTGTGGTGACATTGGCCAAGATGATCTTTGTACAAGAAATTATACTTAGAAGCACACACTTTTGCATTTTGTCTTTCAGTGGTGAAAGTGGGGCAGGTAAAACCGAAAGCACTAAATTGATCCTCAAGTTTTTATCAGTCATCAGTCAACAGTCTTTGGAGCTCTCTGTGAAGGACAAGACATCCTGTGTTGAACAAGCCATCCTGGAGAGCAGGTATTTCTTTCTCGTGGTTCTCATTGCCAGCAAACAGGATTCCCTCTCCTCACGGTATGGCTTAAAGAGTTCGATTAGTGGGTCTGTTTTCTCTTTCTCTTGGTTTCTGTTTTACGGGTTCTCAAGGAAAAGTCTTGACATGCACATAGCCGTTTCTAGTAGCCTGTAGCTGTTTCTAGTAGCCCATAGCTGTTTCTAGTAGCCCTACCACCAACAATGGCTCCTCCATCCGTGGGCCAGGCATGTGTTGGGGAGGTCTCCTACCAGAGTCCTCGACTAGCATTTTGGAGGCCTTATCAGCAGACACTTCGGCACCCCACCACTGTGTGCAGGGGGACTCTGCTCTGCCATCTGCCCTTTGGAAGTGCCATGTGAGCAGGTGGCACTTTTGTAGCGTCATGTGGCAGAAGATGAGGTACATCTGATGGCAGTGAGCCTCAAGCCTTTGAAAGAGGGCTGTGTGGTGAGGTCGCATCTAGAATTTTCTTTAAAATATGCAGTTGCCCAGTATCTGATTTGCATCTTACAATATTTTAGAATCTATAGGGACTTTATAGATCCTATTATGTAGAAATCAGTCCAGGAATCTACAAACGTAGTCCTTATTGTTAGTTCATATCCTGCAGCTGGTTTTTGTTGTGTGTGTGTGTTTTGTTTTTTTAGCATTCAAACTTTATTTTTAAAATTGTGATAACATACACATAATTTAGAACTGGAAACGTTTTGTAGCGCACAGTGAAGTGCCATCAGGTTCATTCACATTGTATGTGGCCGTTTCCACCATCCATCTTCAGAATGTTTCACCTCCCCGCTGCAGCCTGTTGTTATGAATTAAATGTTATTGGGACACAGACACTCATTTGTTTATGGTTATCTGTAGCTGCTTTCAGGCTATCACGGCAGAGCTAGTGCAACAAAGGCCTTCGTAGCCCACACAGCCAAAACTAGTTATTATCTGGTCCTTGGCAGAAAAAGCATGCTGACCCTTGATCTAGTCTGCCCACTATTAAAATCAGAGAAGAACCAGGGCCTGCTCCCAGCACACAGAACAAATGGGTCGAGTTTTTAGGACTGGATTATTTTCAGTCTCTAGAATTGGAATAGGGGCTTTTTCTGTGTAATCCTGGCTGGTGTCGATAAACCCAAGCTAATCTGTGCAGGGCTGAGCCTTTATGGTCTCACTCCGTGTAGCATCCTGTACCCACACATCCTGGACCCTACCACCAGCCATGAGATCTCACCTTCAAGATGGACATTCATGATAAACCCATTTCAGCAAGTGCTTTGAAAATCTGGCTCCTCTGTAAGAAATAATCCCCGCGGGTCCTTTTGATTTCAGACTTCTCTTGCACTGGTATATTTTGACATCTGTGGGGAATGTCCTTGGTGTTTTGAGATCCACCCTAATTAACACTCCGCTGTCCCGACTCCTTTTCAGCCCCATCATGGAAGCTTTCGGCAATGCCAAGACTGTGTACAACAACAACTCCAGTCGCTTTGGGAAGTTCGTTCAGCTGAACATCTGCCAGAAGGGAAATATTCAGGGCGGGAGAATTGTAGATTGTATCCTGTTTTGTTTAGTTTTTTTGTCTGCAGTATTTGACGCCACTGGTAGAAACTGTTCTTATAAGGACAGATGAAGACTGAAAATGAAACCTCTCTGTCTGTTTTTTTATACCTAGTTACTGCTTTAATATTACTATGCATGACCTGTTAATTATTCTAGGAGATAAAGGACCATTCTTCTTTTGGAAATCTCTGATATCATGTCCATAATCTGAAAAAATGGATTTATGATCAAACATCAGCTGTTTGTTGTTTAAAATCAATTTTGCCACATAGTTTGGGTAGGTCCTAGGGCACCATGTGTCATGTTCGAAATTGGATTTAGGTGAAATAGTCTGCACTTGGAGGGCTTACCGGAAGTCTCAATGTCAGAGGAATGGGAAATTGTAATTATTTGGGTAACAAAGAACAGAAAATTAAAGACTAATTAAGTGGGTCACATCCTGGTTTTGTTCCTTGACTTGCCATTGCTTTTCACATGAAGATTTATTAGAAAAAGTAAGTAAGCATGATTTAATTCATGTTCTCTTTCATAATAACAAATTTCAGAAAGTATTGGTTTGTGTTAGTTAAGCAGGGGAAACATCTCTGAATAGAAATCTGATTTACTTCCACAGAACCGAGTAGTAAGGCAGAATCCTGGGGAGAGGAATTACCACATATTCTATGCACTGCTGGCGGGGCTGGAGCGGGAACAGACAGGTAAGTGAATGGGACAGCCCGGAGAAATATGCATTAGCGACTTGTTTTCCATGTAAAAACCATCAGGATGGTTTGGACTTTGTTGATGGTCCACCAATTGATGCGAAATGTATGAGAATATCAAAAGACGTTGAGTTCCTTTTAGAGCCAAATTATGTACAAGGAAAATCATCAATATGGAAATAATAAATTTTGTTTGTTTTTGGAATCTTGGTACTTTTCTGAATTAAAGAATATGAATATATATGTATAATGTGTTACAACTGGTTTTACTTTGAAGCTATGCCCAAATAAAGCTAATTTCTGAACATTTGCTTTAAAAATAAAATAATACTTTTATTGATTTTTAGAGGGAGAGGGAAGGAGAGAAACACTGATCAGCTGTTTCCTGCACCCTCCCTACTGGGGGTCGGGTTGCAACTCCGGCAGGTGCCCTGACCTGGGATCGAATCTAGCAACCTTTTGGTGCATGGGACACTGCCCAACAAACCGAGTCACACTGGCCAGGACTGAACATTTGATTTTTAAGAGAAAACAATCAAAACAGGATCCTCATCGATTATTATTATTTTTTAGTAACATTTCTATCATCTCATTTAGTTTCATTAAGTTCTTTCTATCTTTCTGATCTGATTGAGAACTTGATCTTAATAGGGGACTATTAGCACAAAATTATGTATGTATTTGATTTTAATATCTTAAAGTGAAAACAGATTTGGTCTATCCCAACCAGTCAAGTATTGATATTGTTTTTTGTTTGTTTGTTTTTTCCTTTTTGTAGAAGAATTCTATTTATCTGTGCCAGAAAACTACCACTACTTGAATCAGTCTGGATGTGTAGAAGACAAGACAATCAGTGACCAGGAATCCTTTAGGGAAGTTATTGTAAGTTACTTTCTTATTTTCCCTTATTAGGAGTGTGCCCCCCCCCCAACCCCCGCCAAAAGTGACAGGTTTTATTTTCTGTTTCCAAAAAAAATTTTTTTAATTACATTTGCACCACTGTCTGAGAACAGTATTTGTTTTATTTCTCAATTGTATTTTGGCTCTTAAAACTTCTCTCATGACTCAGATTTTTTCTGTTCACAATTCATTTACTGTATTACTCTCTTTGCTGAAAGATCTTGTCTTAGAATAAATAAAAACACTCATTCTTATTTTGGATGAGTTGCCAAAAAAAGACTTGTCTCAGAATTTTTTTCTATTTTGTTTTATTTTTGCTTCTTTTTTAAAAAAATTTTTTAAGTGTAGTTGATATGCAATCTTATATTGGTTATATGAGTTTCGGGTGTACAGTAAATGATTCACATTTTTATACTTTACAGTGTGATCACCCCACTAATTCTAGTAACCACCTGTCACCATATAAACAAATATTGTTGACTATACTGCCCTCCCACTTTTCACCCTCCCCCTGGTAACCCCACCCTTCTGGTAACCATTTCTTTGGTCTCTGTTTCTGTGAGTCTGTTTTGTTTTTAGATTCCACATATAAGTGAAACCGTATGGTATTTGTTTTTCTCTGTAGGACTTATTTCACTAGGCATAATATTTCACTAGATCCATCCATGTTGTCCCAAATGGCAAGATTTCATTATTTTATATCTGCATATTATTCCTGTGTGTATGTGTAATACACACACCACCACATTTTCTTTATTCATTCAACAATCAATGGATACCTAGGTTGCTTCTATATCTTGGTTATTGTAAATAAACCCAAAATAAGCAGAAGGAAGGAAATAATAAAGATCAAAGCAGAAATAAATGAAATAGAAAATAAAAACAATAGAAAAGATTAATGAAACTAAGAGTTAATAGTTTGAGAGGATAGATAAAATTGACCAGCCTTTAGCAAGACTCATCAAGCAGAAAAGAGAGAGAATACAAATAAGTCAGAAAATGAAAGAGGAGAGATTACAACCAACACCAGAGAAATACAAAGGATCATTAAAGAATGATCAATTATATGCCAACAAATTCGGCAATCTAGAAGTAATGGATACATTTTTAGAAACATACAACCTTCCAAGATGAAACCAGGAAGAAACAGAGAATCTGAATGAACTAGTTACTAGCAATGAAGTTGAAGCACTAATCAAAAAAACTTTGAACAAAATTTCAGGACCAGACGGTTTCACAGGTGTAGTCCACCAAACATTTAAAGAAGAATTAATACCTATCCTCAAACTATTCCAAAAATTTGAAGAGGAAGGAACACTTTTCAACTCATTCTATGAAGCCAGCATTACCCTGATACCAAAACCAGACAAAAAAGCTACAAAAAAAAGAGAATTACAGGCCAATATCCCGGGTGAACATAGATGCCAAAATTCTCAACACAATATTTTGCTTCTTTCTTGAAGCTGGTCAACCATGCATTATGATAGAAGAACGTTGTTCTTGGTTATGGACAGATTTGTAATGATCGAAGTCTTAGTTTCACTGCAGGTGAAACTGATTAGCTGAGTGGCCACTAGGGTGCGCTGGGCATCGAGGTCTGCCCTTGTCCTGAGTACCTGACGAGGTACTCTGAGGGCTTTCCTCTTGGGGCATCTTTTTCTGATTCAAAATTGTTTGTTCTTTTTGTTAGCTACAAGTTAACTTTTGGAGCTTGTCCCAGTTTCAATGATTGCTAGCTTTTATTTTTAAATTGAAATGATAGGTTTTGACATTTGAAATTTGGTCTTATGATGAAAGGCTTTTTGGTCTTCTAGAAAGGAAGAAAAATGTATACATAAATTTGGCTTTGTGAATGTACATGACAGACTCAGAAGTATTCTATTGATAGATCCTGAATATTTACTTTGCAATTACCTTTTAGTGTAGGCCCATCAGAAATGTCAACAACAACCAAGCTGGTGTTTATTGAAATCAGGAACATGTAATCTTTGTTATTATTTAACCTTCTTCTGGGAAGTTCTAAGCAGTGTAGTCAGACAAGAAACACATAAATGAACAACTTTTCAGAAAGGAGGAAAAAATAGTCTTTTCTATAAAAAATAAGATTATTTCCCCCTAACCCTACAAAATTATGAATTAGAGATTGGCTTAAATAATTTGTTATATCCGTAAAACAAGATCTATTGTAGCAAGCAAAATATATGCTCATGTATATTAAGTAGTATGGAAAAACTTGCTTATTACATAAGTGCATAAGGCAGGATACAGTACTATAATCTTTTTATTTCAATAATAAGCATTATAGCCTGGCTGGTGTGGCTCAGTGGTTGAGCATCAATCCATGCACCAAGAGGTCTCCGGTTCGATTCACGGTCAGGGCACATGCCCAGGTTGTGGGCCCAATCCCCAGTGGGGGCATGCAGGAGGCGGCCAATCGATGTTCTTTCTCATCGATGATTCTCTCTCTCTCTCCTCCCCTCTCCCTTCCTGTCGCTGTAAAAATCAATAAAGAAAAAAAAAAAATAATAATAATAAGCATTTTATATACACACACACATACATACAGGATGGGGCAAAAGTAGGTTTACAGTTGTGCGTGCACAAAACAATTTATTCTCGTATTATTATTTATTAATTATTGTTATTTTTCATACAAACAGCTGTAAGCCTACATTTGCCTCACCCTGTATATATAACATGCATATATAATAATTATATATGCAGAAAAACATTGTAACTATACCAAAAATGTTACTTCATGAGGCAGAATTCTAGGATTGTATTTCATTCTCTACCAGTCTCTCTGATGTATCTTTACAACAAATATGTCAACTTTATAATTATTATGATTATATTCCTAAAAATCATAACTCTGTAATATAGGAATATGATCATAAATATCATTGTTAGTAGCAGCCAGCCTGTCCTTCTGCCTTGAGCAGCACTCTGTAGCCAGGAGTGACACAGAAATGGTTAAGAAGACCCCAAACTCCTCTGACTGGAGTTGACTTTATATGTCCAGCATGTCTGGGCACCTGCTGTGTGCCAGGCGCTGGGGAGGCAATGAGCAAACCATAAGATTCCTGCATTCTGCTAAAAATGATGGGAACAGATTGTACTGTTTTTTTTGTGTGTGTTTTTTTAAGGTAATTCATCTCAATGTTTCCTTCTAAGAGCAAATACCATTTAAATTTGTATCTTCATACTCAAATTCCATAAAGCCCTTTTTCCCAGAGGTTTAGGGATTGAAGGAAGGAAAGGGACCACATTCTGTTGAGGCTCAAGCACATTTGTTTGCAGAGTGTGTTAAAATGCTAATGGAGAGAAGTTATTTCTATGAAAATGTATGAACATGTCACCTCTGGCGTTCATGTTTTTAATTTTTTTTTCTTATTGATTTTTAGAGAGAAAGGGAGAGGGAGAGAAAGAGAGAAACATCAATAAGAGAGAACATCGATTGGCCATCTCCTGCATGCCCCCCACTGGGGATTGGGCCCACAACCTGGGCAGGTACCCTGACTGCGAATCGAACTGTCGACCTTCTTGGTGCATGGGTTGATGCTCAGCCACTGAGCTCTACCAGCCGGGCTGGTGGTCATGTTTTTAATTTGATTTATTTTTCTTTTTTTGAGAGAAACCTTGATTTGTTGTTCCACTTATTTATGCATTCATTGGTTGATTCTTGTATGTGCCCTGAATGGAGATTGAACCTGAAAATATTGGCATATCCAGATGACACTCTAACCAGCTGAGCTATCTGGCCAGGGCTGGTGTTCATTTTTAGCTACTAAAAAAATTATTCTTTTTTTTTGTCGTTGTTAATCCTCATCCAAGGATATTTTTTCCATTGATTTTTAGAGACAGTGGAAGGAAGGGAGGGAGGGAGAGAGAAAGAGAGAAAATGTGTGAGAGAGAAACATCGAAGTGAGAGAGACACATTGATTGGCTGCCTCCCGCATGTGCCCCGACCGGGGTGGTGGCTGGGCATTGAATCTGCAACCCAGGAATGTGTCCTTAATTAGGAATCAAACCTGAGACCCTTTGGTGCATGGGTCGACACTCTAACCACAGAGACACATTGGCCAGGGCAAAAAACATCATTATTCTTTTTGTCAACTTTAATGTCCATATACTCTAGCAATAGGATTTTTTAAGAATTGTGCTTATTCCATTGAGAATGTATGTATTTTTAGAATTCATCATTGGCATCAACTGGTGAAGTTAATATAAATAAGTATCTGTGAGGTATTCTGAGCAGTTTTAGGAGGACCTATATTTTCCTAGGACAGGGACAGTGACCTGCTGAATTTTGTGGCCATTTTTTATGGTGGCCTTCCCAGTTGCCTGTGAATTGATCAGTCAGGATGAAAAGCTATTTCAAGTCAATAGTAACAACTAATGTATTTGGTCGCCTGCATTGACCTACTAGCATGGTGGCTGATGAGATGTGTGTGAGATAAGGTGAGTCTTAGAGCCGTAATCTCGTCATCCTCCTCTTCCGTAGTACTGAATGTTTACAGTGTGGTGGCCATGGGCCACTCCGGGATTTCCCCACCATATCGGCCTTATGGGCATGTCCATGGGTGTTTCATGGTGTGAGCCCGTGTACACATACACAGATTCATTCGTCATGAGTCAGATTTTATGAAAATGTAAAGGGTTGACCTGATAACCGTGATTTTGCCAAGCTTGGAAACAGTCACTTTCAGTGTTGGAAAACTTGGGAGTATAAGCAAATTTAATATAATAAAATAGCATATGATGGCCTTGCTATAATATCACATAATAAATTATTAAGTTACTTGTAGTAATTGACTAAGCCCAGAATAGCGCTTCCTTCCACTATTTCCGTTGTACCATTTACTGAAGGTTACTCTGTAGTCCCTTTGCCTTCCTGAATGGATCCTCCCCACTCCCAGCCAATGTCTGAGACCCTGAGCAGACACACCTTTGGCTGTGAACTGCCTAGAATTCACCGCTCT